GCTAGGGAGCTGCGAGTGGAGAGCAGAGAAAGGAGTGTGGATTTATCTCTATGCTCCAAATACCAGCAGAGCCAGAGATTCAGCCTTGGAAGATGCTCACTTGCATTTAAGAAGTGCTCTCAGAAGAAAACATCCTTCTATCTGGTAATTTTTAATTTCCATTTCTGATTCTTAGCCTAACCCTCATATCATCCAACTGCCATGCCTTATGGCATCAAAAGAGCAGAGAAAGGAGTGTGGATTTATCTCTATGCTCCAAATACCAGCAGAGCCAGAGATTCAGCCTTGGAAGATGCTCACTTGCATTTAAGAAGTGCTCTCAGAAGAAAACATCCTTCTATCTGGTAATTTTTAATTTCCATTTCTGATTCTTAGCCTAACCCTCATATCATCCAACTGCCATGCCTTATGGCATCAAACATTGGTAGGATGAAACTGAATTTTTTTAGGAAACAAAAACTTTTTTTAATGGAAATTTGAAAGAAATTCCTGGCATGACTCCTTTGCAGCATTAGAGAAATAGTGTTTGAACAAGCCATGTGTAAGCGTGTACTCAGTACCAAAAAGCTTGCCCCCTTTAAGTTCAGCCCTCTTAACGTGCTCCTCAGTCCCCCGTGCTGGGAACACAGCATTTTGGCCCCCAGGCAGGCTTTGGGCTCCCGGCAGGCCTGAGCTGCTCACCCGGCATTCTGCAGGTGCAGATTCAGTGCCCACTGTGTGGGAACCAGGAAGATGTAATCAGTGATCAGGTCCACCACTGTCTTCTTTATGACTTCCTGGTCTGGGTTGTCACCCCATGCTTGTGTGTAGATGTTGTATGTCGCATTGGCTCCACGCTCGCCCCTATCCACAGTAAGTCCTTTGATCAAATTATAGACCTCTTCCCTGAAAAGACAAGTAGTAACAACTAATTACGACCAGCAGCTTCAAGTGCAGCAGGGCTCATGGAAATTGATCCCAGCTCCTGTTGGTGTTCACATCCCACCCTGTGGTTAGCAACAGTTTGGTGGAGTAAAAATTATTTAATTCCAGCTCTTAGATAGCAGGCATGTGCTTCCCAGCTGTCTCAGCAGAACAGCTTGGGTCCAAATTGTCCACAAGTTCCTTTCATCCCCAAAAAGGAGCCTTAGAGGGCAGGTGCCCACCCTGTCTGACATGCACCTCCTCTGGAGAGAGAGCACCAGGGCTGCCAAGCCCATCACTGGTGCTGCATTCAGGAGCACCTTAAAGGTACACAGGGAGGCTTCCCCACCTGCTGGTCCTTTCTCTGGAAGGCTCTGGACTTGGCAACATATGCCCTAGGCATCCTGGCTTGGAGTGACATCCTGTTTTGAAGGTAGTGTCCTGTCCACTCAGGTCTAAGTCCTTGGAGTTTGGGGGCTATGTTAAGGATAAAGTTCCTCCTGTTTAAGGGTTTTAAGAGTACTCTTCACTTACGGACTGACTTTCACAAATGGGCGGTTGATAGCAGGTAAATCAATGCCAGCAAAGATGTGGCCATCCATGTTATTGACCCCAGCGATGTAGTCAATGTCAGCAGCGTTGGCAAAGAGCTTATCTGGTGTGTCTGGGAGGAAGTCTCCATCGATGACAGGAGTGAGGGCAAGTGTGTGAACCAGGGGAGCTGCAGCAGAGACAAAACCAGAGTCTCTTAGGTTTGAGAAACCTAACTGAGAAAAGACAGAAGTGTGGCCTGGCATATCCCATGACTCAAGGAACTGTAGAAAGAATAGGCTGGGGCGAATAAGGGCTTTGGCAGTGACATCGGCATGGGCACAATTTCACCCAGGAGCAGGGTGACCACAGGATCATGTTCAGTAAACCTCATGCCTGTAGGTGGGGGAGAAGAACAAGAGATCTGCCAGCCAAGTACCAGCAGGTAACATCAACAATTCCTCTCCTCCTTCCCCCAGCCCCTTCCCAAAAAGCCCAGCCAAAGTTAGGGAAGAGCAGAACTTCTCCCCACCCCATCTTGCTGCATTCACTCATCGCCAGGACAGCCAGCTCTGGCCAGTGCAGCTGCACAGCGGTGGCTTGGCCACTCTCTGTCTTGAGCAAGGCAAAAGACTGGGGCTATTTATTAGGAGCTTGAGGAAAGCAAGTGGAGAAGAGTCTTCTTGGGAAAGAAATTCTCACAGACAGCAAAACCAGAAGCGTTCCCTACCTGGTGTGAGAGTCCTACACTACACCCAGAAACTCAAATGAAAATAGCAAGGTTGTGGTCAATTATGTGGTTTTTTTTTTCTTTTTTGGTTGTAAGCTGTATTCTGGAATTGCTCTTGCTGCTTTCACAAGACAGAAAGCCCAAACAGTTGCTTTGGATAATTCCTCTGCCACCACTGTCCTCACACAATGAACACCATTCATTCAGCAAGATGTGCCCCTGTCTGCTGAAGGGCAACTGTGAGATTTGTCATTATTGTCCCCTTTCTGAAGGACACAAGCACAGCTTCAACACTCCTGGCAATCGCCCCAGTGTCCCATCAAAAGCATGATGAACCCTGGCTGCGTAGAGGATCACAGCATGGGCCAGGGGACTTACAAGGCAGGTTGGTCAGGTGCAGGTGGTAGGCCAGCGTCACAGCTTTGGGGTCAGAGACACGCAGGCAGTTGGCCAAGGAAGTGGTGTTGTCTGTAGGGCAGCCCACATTCTCTCCAATCTGCAGGACAAGAGAGAGAAACCTCCCAGCATTACCTTCTGAAGCCAGGCTTCATTACCAGCTTCACAGAGGCAGAGGAGAGGTTGGTTTTACTCTCAAAGCAGCGTGTTTCCAAAGCTCTGTTTGGCAGCATGTCTCCTGCCAAATCCCTTGTTAGTGGTGCTCTTCTCTAGAGTTTTTCCATTCCCTTGGCAAGACTTGCACATTACCTTTTTAGCCCAGGCAAGTGGGTCCTTCTGGATGGCCCAGCTGCAGAGACCGACGCCACTCTGGCTGATGGCTCTCTTGAACAGGCCCTTGTTCTTTGGGGTCAATGTCTGTGGTGCAAAATAGAAACAAGAGGGTTTTAGGTACAAAATCCTGAAGAGACCATTGCCTGCCAGACCCATCTGATCCCCTCAGAGCTTGTGTACCAGGCTGAGGGAAGCTGCCAGCTCCTGTGCTATTTAACAGTCTCAGCAAAGTTAAAAGGTGATATGGTGAGGAGCAGACTAAGGGCAAATGGCAAGTAAATACTATTTCACCAGAGGTCCCTAAAGTGAGGACACATGCCTGCAGCAGTGGGACTGAACAAACTGGGGAAGAAGGAGCAGCTACAAAGAAAGAGGCTGAGCATT